CCTTTGGATCCTAATACTCATACAATAATGGTTTTATATAATATTTGTCCTTGTGGGACTGAATCAGTTCATTCAGCGTAATGTTCTCCAGTCCTTCCCAAGCTAGGTAATAAGTTATAAAATCATTGCTCCTGCCTGCTGCATAGTATTCCATTGTATGAATGTACTATAATTCTCAATCTGTTTGATTGTGGTTGGAAATCTGGGCTGTTTCCACATTCTTGTGATGGTAAATAATGCTGCTATGAACATTGGTGTAAAAGTCTCCCTTAGTGCCTCAGTTTTCATTTCCTCGAGATATATTCCAAGCAGTAGAATAGCTGGGTCATATGGAATTTCTACGTTCAGCTTTTTGAGGAAGCACCAACCTGCCTTCCATGATGGTGTACCATTTTACAATCCCACCAATATCTCATTGCCATTAATCCTTCAGTTTTATTCTTCCTGTCTTCAGGGTTTTATTCTTGGGCAAATGCTGTTCTTTGATTTTACAGACTTGCTTATACCTGGTGCTCTTGGTCTCCTATTTGACTGAAAGTAGAGACATTGAGCGAAATTTCCTTCAGGTTCTAAGAGTGACTAAGGGCTACCTTCCTTAATCTCTGTAGAGCCAGCAAACCTGGTCTTTTATGTGCTGTTGAGGGCTTTCCCCATACATTTCCCCCAGTCCCCTCTCTCCAGGATCTTCCACAGGGACTCCTAAAGTGGTCAGTGGGGGTAGCCAGGCACTTTCTAGTCTTTCTGATCTCAGGGGCAAGGAGGCTGAGCTTTGTGCAGCCCGTCAGTGCTCTGAGATAATGATTTATATACATCTTTGCTTTTCTTCTCTCGTATTTGTTCCTAATTGGGTGAGAGCAATAGTTGTACCTTAGATGGCTCCTCACAAACTTTCCTACACCCTTTTTTCTTGTTGTGAATTCAATTGAATTCAATCACACAGGCATAAGAGGACACTTTTAAGACCCCAGTCACCACTCATCAAAGTCAGATTTGAAATACTGCCTTTGTGGACTCTGCTACATACTGTAGCCATTTCTATACTTGAACCATAATGTATGTTGTTGTGAAGAATCTAAGAATGACTACAGACTTTGTCTAATATGAAAATGGGTGACCTCAGGAATTACTTCCATGCTCAGTCTTCACCACTGAAAAACGTTTTATTTTTTCAATCTTAGAGAATACCATATTTCAATTTATAAAAAGGTTTTTATAAATAATGAATTGTTGTTAGAAATTTAACATGCAATTTAAAAAGTTAGAAGTGTTTTCTCATTTCCCCCTTGTTTGTGTTCAAAGTACTTCTTTCAACAGTATTTTAGTGAAATAAATAGGCTTTAAACGCATTTATCTGGGGATGGAGCGTATGGAACGTGGCAGGGAAGACAGTGGCACATCCTTCTTATGAGCTGCCTGCTCCTACACCTGGTGGACTGAGAGCTGTTGTGTGGACACTTGTCTCTCCCCTCAGGTTGCCGTATCGCCAGGAGAATGACGTTGTTTCACTCGCTTCAAGGTGAACCCAGAAGATCCCCTCAGCAGGTGTGGGGAGAAGCCATCTGTCCTAACAGCAGAACAACCATCTGCACACTCCTACCCATAGGGCCTCCCCGACTTGCAGCTTGGCTCATTAAAGTGATATGTGATACAGGAAGAGAGTGGTGATGCAAACACAAAGTCACTTCATAGTGGCTTTTCTCTCCTTTGAGAGAGAACGACGCTTCACATTTATGTTTGCTTGTCTGCATGTGCATATATGTATGAACAATTATTTTAGCTATCCATCAACCTGAAATCCCTTGGCAGTGCAAATTGCTGACATGCTTGGCTGCTACCTGTAAGACTAGAGGTTTGACTCTACCCAGTGGTGCCTCAGAAGAAAGATTTGGAAATCTCCTGAAAAATCAGAGCCTAAAATCCCTAGGGAGCACAATTCTATTTTGACACACAGACTGGGGGTGGAGTCATCATGTGTCCTGCTCAATTCACTATCAACTGGGTTAATCAACAAAGAACAACAGAAAATATTTGACATTTACTGAGCATTTGCTATGCCCCTTTGTTCTAGTACTTTGTGTGCAGCATCACATATAGAGAACCCATACAGGATGGTGGTGGTGGTGGTGGTGGTTGTTGAGTACTGTTGAGTTGGAATCCACCCATACTTGACCCTCCATCAGATTTTCAGAGGCAGTTAATTGTGTGGGAAGAGATTGCCCATCCTTCTCCCACAGAACAGCTGGTGAATTCAAACTATATGCCTTTGGGATTGCAGTGCAGCTTCTTACCACTAGGCCACCAGAGCTGTCCACCATGGGTACCCATTACCACGACTGGCACATCACTGTCACAGTCTTCAGCATCACAACAACCACGAGTTACCTCTGTACAGCAATGCACAGACCAGTGCTATACCACCTAGAAGAATGTTTGACAGGAAGACAATTTTAACCTGGCCGAGGGCCACAGATGAAAATCACCCACCTTCAGCTTGGTAGCATAGCTTCCTTTCTACTAGGCCAACGTAGCTCTTTCTTGGTCGTCGTCATTGTTATTGTTGTTTGATGCCGTCGAGTCGTAGACGACTCATAGCGACCCTATGAACGAACAGCCTGAGCACTGTTCGTACATAGAGTTTCCGGAGGCAAGCCATTTCGGAAGTGGATGCCGCTCCTGCTTCCAGGCTTGATTTGGTCAGGAAGCTCCAGCCAACACTGGCCACCATGGGTACCCATTACCACGACTGGCACATGATATATAGATATAGATATCTTTGTTCTTGTGTACCGTTCAGTCGGAACTAATCCACAGCTGACCTCCCAGAAGCAGTTTAATCACATGAAAGGAGATTGCCCATCCTTCTCACACAGAGTAGCTGATGGACTTGAACTGGTATCTTCAGCATTGCCGTGCAGCTCCTTACCACTGCACCATATATATGAGAAAGAGGTGTCTAGGTACACTTATGAGACTAATTAGACCAAGTCAAAGGAGAACACATGATTCAGAGGCTTTAAGTACAAAGGTTCTTGTTGGGAAGAATCAGGTGCAATGACAGTCAGCTTAAGAGACAAGTTCAAAGTCAGCAAGACAAGTACAGCAGGTGACGAGACAGATGTAAGAGGTGAGAGGAAGTGACAAAAAGGCACTGGTATACAATCCCCTAGCCCCCACCCTGATGTAGTCCACTATACAACCTTAATTCTGGATTCCTGTGATAATCATAATACCCTATCATATACCATTTTTAAACTGTACTCTTCCTTATCTGTTTCAATTTTTGCTTTATAAAGAGAGGAATGAACTGGAGGGGGGGTAGAGAAAAAAGTGCAACAATGAATAAATGGAAATCCAAAATCTCTGTAAATGCTCATTAAAATTAATAAAATAAAATGAAAAAAGGCATTGGGAGAAGACTCTTCAAGTGGCCCTGTGCATTTGTTTCTCCTGATACTCTTTTTGTTTGTTTTCCAGATCCCCACTGGATTTTTCCCATTTCTTTACCCTCCGCCCCACCAAATTGTGTGACCCTGTGATTTTCCCCCTGACTAACCTACTCCTCTGCTCCCCTCTTGGATCCTCATACACGGTTTACTAGTTATCTTTCTAT